CTGGGTTCGAAACTTGCTCCAGAGTCAGCTTCGCTTGGAGCTTCTCGAAAGCATTCATGCCATTTATAGAGTAACGGGTTTTCCCTTACTCGCCGCTTCGGGTTTAATCTTTGGGCTTGTGAACGGGGAGCTGCTTGTGTTCTTGAATCCTGGGGACCTTGCCTGATTCAGTGCGTGTCTGGGACAAGGCAGGAGGTCATTTCCAGCGCGGAATCGCTGCTATGCTTAACGGAAAATACAATAGGTTCGTGGGCTCGAGCGCTCACCCCCCGTTCCCCCCTTGCCCAAAAGCTGCAGGTCCCCCTCCCCTCAACTCTTGTATACTGTCTTGTTGCAGTCCTACTACTACTCTACCGCTGTGGTACCACTACTGTGCTGCTGTGCGACGACGGCGACGACGACCGCTAATTACCGCTACTACCACCACCACCGTGCCACCACCGCCGCCACCACGACTACTACGACTACTACGACGACGACGACTACTACTACTACTACTACTACTACTACTACTACTATGCAAACCATCAGCCATGCAAGAGGCAAAAACTACTACTAATTACAACTACCACCCTCCTACTTCTGCTATCTACTGCTGTTTCCACTCCTGCTCCTACTCCGACGACGACGACGACCACGAAATCGACTTCGGGGTGTTAATGCGTGAACTTGTGTCGCCATAAACCTCCACAGGCATGCCCGAATGCAAGTGTCAAAAGCCCTGACCAAATCGGAAACGCAGGACCTCGAGGCTTTCGGTCCAGGCAACGCCAGTGATCATGTGGAAACTGGACGTCTGCTGCTGGAGACCGACCGGCCGGGATCCCTAGGGGCCCGAAACCCCGGGCTTGTAAAGGGCTAACCGCCCAAACTTTAAGATGACGGGGAGGACAAAGCGACAGCGATTGGGGCATGCTGATGACGATGAGGATGTAGATGAATGTTTAGAAGTTTACCTGGTGACTAGGCGGTGATTATGCACATGGTGATCACGCCAACGAAGAAGACGACTACCACGACTACCTTGCTGCTGCTGAAACGAAGCAAGCGATTTGTTGGTATTACGATGATCATGATGATGATCATATAACCATGACAGACAGGATGGTCGTGGCATTCCCATATTCACTATGACTGGCCGTCATTGCCTAGCATGATCACCTATTACAACCTCACTGTGTTTATCATGAGAGTCACATTTACATTCACTAGTACTGTACTTGAAGCCATGCAGGAGGCAAAAGTACTGTAGCCATCATGTCGGGAGTCGTGTCAGCATTGGATGTTGGAACATCCCGTGCAGTGTCTTGCAGCTGATGGTGGCACGAAGCTGATGCTGGTGTTGATCGTGAGGGTGGCGGCGGTGGAGCTAGTGTGGCGGGTGGTGGCAGCGTTGGCGCTGGTTCGCAGTTGTGGTACAGGTGCTGCCGCTGACGACCACCACTATCATAATGATGACGGTTTGGCACTTCATAGCGGTCTCTCTTCGTCAGCACTGAACTGCTACTTCGAGGATCTTGCGAAAGGTGAGTAGAATTGGTGACCGGTATCTCGAGTACTCTATGTATGGTCCAATCAGCATGTTTCACCCCTCAACTATGAAACCCAGCAAACCCAGGGCAATTTCAACGCTGGTGGAGCCTTTGGCGCGAGCGAGCTTCAACCCAATGGACAGGAGACCGGAGTCTGAACAAGTTGAGGTTTTGAAGCATTATTATCGTACTATTATAGTATTAGTATAGTATGATAATTACTATTAGTATGGAATTTCTAGTGTTGAGCTGACATTTGTGTTGATTCGTTCGTGGTCTATATCTAAGCTGTTTGAGTTTCTGACGGGAAGCTCCTTGGGACCTTGAGTGTTCGTAACTATCAATACTATGTCGGGTCTTCCTTATTGTAATTATCGTACCAAAACCCCAAAACCCTATCCTAATTATAAAGGCCTTATACTAAACCTTTAAAGGAACCCTTATTGTGCATCAGCACCTTTCTCGAAGCCATACCCTGCAGTTATCACACTTTGGGAGCCCTGTGGGTGGATCCAGGATGGGGGTAGTCGCCCCGCCGCCAGGATCACAGCTCTTGGGAGCTGCTTTGACGGGCCGTATTCGGGGTTGCTTCGATCTCCTCACCAGCGCTGAGGGCTGTCCCGGAAGACCTTCTAGAGTAATATGGGGTCCCGGCCTATTAGCATTGCCAAGAACATACGTTAGGGGTTTCTGTTCTGGTGGGCGACCACCCACGGTCTTTGAACAGAAAACTGAGGCGCCCACCATGCGGTTGCAAACCTCATGCACGCCCTCACCAACTCACCCAAACCGCAAGCCTGAAATATCTCTTTTGCCAAGCTCAAGCCACAGAAAAACAAGTGCTCGTCAGACAGGATCACCACCATCTTCTTGTACCAGCGGCTCGGACGATCCATGTGCAGGGATTAAGATTTGGGTTTTGAGGTGCTTAGGGATTGCACAGAGACCTGGATTCCTGGATCAAATCGGGTTTGGGGATTTAGGAACTTGCTTCGTGCCATTCTAGCTGAAGGTCTGACGGATACTAGTGAGAACAGTCCCAGACTGGTGCAGGTCCCTGCACTGTCTGTAATTAGAAAGTACACTGAACGATCGAACAAGGCTACGGGGTCTGTGGAGTCAAGCACTGGCCAAGGCTGCAATCTCTCGGCAGGACTGCAAGCTTGCGGCCAATGCAGGAGCTTAGCTGTCGTAACTACGATGCTCCTTAACTTCTTCGGCCCTCTAAAGCCTTTTCAAAACCAATGAACAGGTAGGTGGGTGTGAGTGTCAGGATGGACAGACACACTATGGCCCTTTGATATGGATTTTGGATAGTAGGATACCGACTACAAGGATCCCGAACTCAGGTAACCCTGATTTCAAGTACTGCCCCAATCAGGAGCAACACCTGTGCTCCATCCAGATGCCTTCGGCTTGCACGAACTTGGGCTTGAGCTTCTTCTGCTTGGTTTTGGCACCAAGGCAGCATAGGTTCAGGGTTTGGGGCCTTCCAGGAAGGAGGTGCCGGGTTGCTTTCTGGAGGACACTCAAGCATCTAGAGGCCAAAACGTCGATAAGGGAGCAGCTAGCTTCTATGTTGGGTGACGTTCAATCCATTCAGTCAAGATCCTTTTTCAGTACGCTCGTTTGAACTCAGGGAGAAACATACACAAGAAACATCATGAAGCGTTGAAACCTACGGTTCATTACGCCTTCAGCGGCTGCTTTTGGGTTCCTAGAAGTTTGCATGCTGAGGTCTTGGTTTCCTTGCTGCCCGTCCTCGCCAAGCTTTTGCTTCAGAAGCGGGCTGAGTGACATGAAAACCCCTGGTTACCTGCTCCCTGCTTTTAAAGACCATAATACAACATTAAGGCCCTGATGCTCCCAACAACAAAGCCTTTAAAGAAAGGGAGCTTCCTTACTCAGGGATTTACATGGCAGTTTCCGAAAGAAGGGGTGCCTTATTTGGGAGGCCTTATGTTCAGGATCCTACTGTTTAGGCTACTATACTTGGAGGGGCAGGGGACTTAGTAAGTAGGTTATAAGTAGAGTTATAAGTACCCCACATGGAGTTACCCCCAATTATAACCACTAAGTCCCCTGCCCTTCCAAGTAGTAGGGTCCCCTATTTTCGGAAACTCCTCCACCTAGGCCGTGCTCTGGAACAGAGCACGGCAAGCTCGGAGGCTCGAGGGAGCCTCTTTGGGCAGCTGGAAAAGAGAGCTTTTGTGTGAAGGGTTTTGGGGCCTTAGGGGTTCGAGTCCAGGGGTTGAAGGGTTTACGGGAGATAAGCTCTAGGGGCTTATGTAAGGGTTCGAGGGCAAAGTTTTGGGGGTTTTAGGGTTTTTTGGGTTAGATTAGAGGATTTAACAGCTTAGAGGTCTAGGTTTTTTGGGGATGAAGTCTTCAGGAAGGGGGGCATCAGGTTCGCCTCGCTAGGGATCCGAACCTGCACATTTCTACATGGGACTGTGTTCTGTGTGTGTATCTATATCTTTCTATCGATGTAAAAAAAATGTATACACACACGTGCAACATGTAATATGTAGAACATGCGTGCAGATGGATGCATAGGTCAATCCATGCACTTCTACTCAGCAGGATACCAAGCGCTGCCAGCTCAAGGCTTCGGGTTCTGAGACCTCGGTTCAGGGCTTTGGGGTTAGGGTTTCAACTACTAGTCGTTCCTCATGAACAAGCTTGAGGGCGGTTTAGGGATTTAGGGGCTTAGGAGGTTTAGGGCTTATGGGTTAAAGGGACATTTGTCTTTTCGCACGAAGGGTGCTTGAGTGGTGAAGATGCGCTGAAGGCCTAGGTGGCAGCTGTGGTCCACCGTCCATGGACACCAACGCTAGAAACTCTAATCGATGGGTTTGAATCATTGGGCCTAGACTCGAAACCTTGTCCCCCCCCGATATCCCTCAGTTCTTGCTGAGGTCGCAGCCCCGAGGCCAGATGGTTGACGGCTAGCTGTCGGGTTTCTTGGTGATGGGGTCCTTCTGGGGCTGGGGGCTTAGGGTTCAGTTTTTCAGGGAATATAAGGGCCGTTTAGGGCCGAGGGTGCATCTCAGGCTGTTCCCAGCACCTTAAAGTGGAGGTGCCGCTTCTGTCATTTGGGTTAGATACACCTGATTTCTTGATCTATTACTCTACATTCTAGATAATAATCCATCTACGGCAGCCTTCCAAGGGTGAGGGTTCCGGAAGAGTGGGTTCAGGCCCGATTCTCGCATGCGCGCAGCAAGCCTTTCGTGCAATCTTCGCCTGAACTCTGTTCTGAAGGGAGGGTGCTCATCCCATGTGGGTGGTTGTCAAAATTATGGTCCCTTTTTGGGGTCCCTATTATAGTACGGCACCTATTATTAAAGGGTACCCTACAAAGGACCTTAATTTTGATAACATCCCACGTGTGTCTGGCTTCAAACCGCATTCATGGCTTCGTTGCGTTCTTGTGAGGCCCTTTTCCCACCTCATCTCCAACAGCACATGCAGCCACCACACGGGTATCCGATGACCCAACATCCCTCAATCCCAGCAACGCTCTTGCCGGAGCACCACCCCCATTTCCAACAGCAGTTTGCACACCAGAGATTCCCCGGTCCTGCACCACAAGCAGGGGTCCCAGCTACCATGCTTCCCGAGCAGCAGATGCATCACCTAACGCAGCCCAGCTCTGGGGTCCCGGCGAAGCAGCCCGGGGTCCCGGCAACCATGCTGCCAGCAGACCACAGAGACCAGCAATATGCACCAATGCAACCACACCAGCCCCAGAGATATCCGGCACAGCAGCCGACTATCCCGGCAACCCTGCTTCCCGAGCAGTTACAGATGCCTCATGCAATGCCCATGCATGGCCCAGGCCCCGGCCAGCCCCTCCACGAACTGCAGCCTCCCTTCCTAGACCATCGTCTCCAGGAGATCTTAAAACCGGAGGCGCCACGGCCAGAGCAGCCCCTGCCAAACCGCGACTCCATTCAGATATACCAGCTCCCTCCACAAGGAGGGCAGGTACCCCCAACGCAGCCCCAGAACTTTCAGCTACCTCAGCAGATACAGGCCCCTTGGTTGCCCAAAGATAAGATTGTTTTTTTTCTCGTGTCGGATCCGCTTTGCAGTGAACTGTTCCGTGCTCTTCGGACTCTAATGGACGTTGCACACCTCATCCGCGACCTGGGCCAGAACTCATGCTCTCGGGAGATCCAAACCCTGATACCGTAATCACTTCCCACACTGACGTTGAAGCGCCCCCGCGCGGACAAAATGCAAAGATTAGAGTACAGTTTTTTTGGCCTCTTTTGTATCAGAGGCCCTCCGGGGGGCAGGGGCTTGCCCAGGCGTTGAGCTTCATTGCAGTTGTGAGGTTGGTGTTTACAGCCAGACCTGAACCAACGACCCAAACTTCGACCCAGAGTCCATCATTGACAAGACAAGAATGGGCCAACACTCTCGATAGATCCCCTAATTTGGGGCCCTATACTACGTAAGGTTACTTTGTAGGAACCCCCATCAAGGGATTTACTTTGTGGATCCTCCCGGGGAGATCTCCTCCGACCCCGGTCACAACTGCCACTGCTGTTAGTGTATCCATCGTGCTTGGTCTTCAGCTGCAGCCGCAGTGGCTGCCAGAATCCGCCGGCTTTTATAGTGACATAGAGCCATGCGATTAATACCTCCTAAGCCCTCACCTAGACAATCCGAGTGTGAGAGCCGAAACTGTATACACCCCAAACGGCAGGATTAGTAATAGCATTCTTGGGGGATTCTTTCTTACCACACTTATATGCGAAAAATCCACAATACCGTATTCCACTTATCAAGGCCCTGCCCTTGAGTCGAGGTTCCGGCCAGGCCTTCGGCCACTATCCCTGGCTACCAGCCGCCAGTGGAGGCGATGCCAGGGGCACCCCACTTAGCGCAGCCACAGCCACATCCGGGGCCGCGGCCTTGGCAGCCTGAAGAGGGGCATGGGAATGAGTAACTTGGCAAATAAGGGTTAGAAGTACCATCGTTGGGATCAGAAGTAGTTGTGTATATAGGTTTTGGGGTTTAAGTCTGAAGTTGTCGGGCGCATATCGCTCACGAGCAGTCGTTTGGTTCCAGATCTTTCTGTTTCGGACATAGGATCCAATGTTTCACTCCGACGCGGCCCCTGCTGATTGTGACAGATACCCTATCCCTCCAAAACCGTCTTATTGGGTCCTTGAGGGGTCTGGGGACCCTAAATATGAGGTCCTTGGAAGCCTAGGGATATTGATAGTAGGGTTTGATCTGATGCCGCCGGAAGTCTGCGTCACCTCCTTCGACCATCAGGAGTTTTCCTGTGTTTGATCATGTTTAGATTGTGCTCATAGAATAGGCCGTGCAGACTGTGGACGTGCTGTTGCGTGTGTACTACTTTGTTCTGGTGTTCCTTGCGGTCTTGTGCTCGCTTTTCGGTTACCCCGAGCAGAGCATAGAACACGAGAATGCAACTGTCCCGGACTTCACTAGAGTCGCTTTGATATGTCACGGAAGAGTGCAGCAGCCTCAACATCACTCAACATCTTTAAACTCTCTTATAAGCCCAACGCAACCAGGCCCCACAAAGACTTCTTGCAACACGGCTGTGGCTCAATGTTCGTTTGCTGCTCCACGCATGCATGCTGAAGACAGACAGAGAGGTAACCCAAGCCCTGCAATGCAACACGGTGAGTAGGCGCATCGGGAGGTTGGCCAGATAGATATTAGATGCGGCCACCCACACAACAACAACAACAGCAGCAACGGCTCCACAAATGTCTGTGGAGAGCTTGAACCGCTAGAATGTTCTAGCACCAGATGCCCATGTCCTGCATGCCGTGACTCTTTGCCACACCGGGGGTGGGGCAGAATCGAAACTGCAAAGAATGCAGGGCTTGGTGCGCAGCCTGGTTTGCTCGGAGCTTCCCGACCTAGCGGAGCAGGATGCGAACGCGCTCTTCCTCCGCATCTTCCAGCAACTGAGCTCGGCCCCTGGGGGAGGTGCCGCCGAGGATGCTGCTGTTGAAGAGCTGATTGCACAGCACTTGCGGGGTCTCAGGAAGAGTGACCGTGGACTCGACAGGCATCTGCGGTTCCAAGGCTTGAAAAACCGGCTACCCAGCGAGAGCCGCGGCAAGAGGTCTTCCGTGTTGGCATTGCTTTTCCTGCTTCGTGGGGATCCTTACGCGGGTGAGACAAGGAGTCCTCAGTACTTCACGCATCGCGGGCGCTCGGAGCCAAAAGAGACTGGCACTTCGAAACTGTCCGATGGGGCCGCCCGCACGGTTTACATGGGCTGGCAGCTTTCTGCAGGAGCCGGGGGGCCTCCTACAGAGCTGCCAGAGGCGAAGCTGGTGAGGGATCTACTCTTTGCCTTACAGGGTGTCAGCAGCGACTGCTTCAAGCTCAACGGGTCCTTCGAAGTGGACCCTGCAGTGATCCTATCGAGGCCGGCTTGGGTGGTCTCTCAGAGGGTGCTGGAGTTGGCAACGCTGCATTCGCGGCTCAGCAGTCAGGCTTCTGGCGAGGGCCTCTTGCAGCAGGCCCTTTGCGAGGCATTGCGACAGCAGCTCCAGGAGTACTGTGATAAGGAAACCCCAAAATCGTATTGGTAATTTTTTAGTCTCCTACATCAAACCCCAGACATCCCCCCCCAACCCTGAGTTTCCAAACCCTACTCCAGGAGTACTATGAGATGCTGGCACTTCTCATGTCTCGAAAGCTCACCTTACGCTCCCTGTGGTCCTGGCTCCTGGCTCCGCGTGCCCGACTGGGTTTCCTGGCCACTCTCTCGGAGGCCACGCGACACTGGGCTTTGGAGTACCATACTTTAATACTTGTTACTTAAAGGGAGCCAACTATGAAAAATAAGTCTATACTTGATTCTCCCCGTCTACTTCAAAGCCCAGGACAGGGCGTCTTCGGCGGTGCCGTGGCCTCCACCGTCGTCGCTTTCGCGCAGTCGGGAGACCTCGAGGTGCGGGTTGCTCAAAATCATGGCCCCCTTTTGGTCCCCAACAGACCATAATAAAATCATATGTTTTTTTTTTCATGTTGGCCCCCTAAACTATAAGGAATAGAATAGATTGTAATGAAATCATGGGCCTGTTTTCATTTTGGCTATATAGACTATAGCACAGACCCCCCAAAAGGCCCATGCTTTGGATCACCCTCCCAGGTGCAGAAAGCAGCTACAAGGATCCTAGCTTCGGTGGTGCGGCCACTGCTGGCCATGATCCGAGCTTGGATGACAGAAGGCGAGTTGCAGGATCCTTTCGGGGAGTTCTTCGTAGTGGCAGCCTCGGTGCCTCTCCAAGATCTTTGGACACGCATGTACAGATTGGAGCTGGAAATGGTGCCCAGTTTTCTGTCCCTTGACTTGGCCAGGAAGATCCTCCTCACAGGTAAATCCGTCAACTTCATCCGCCTTTGCTGCCCGGGTCAGGTCTGGTCCAGCAAAGGCAACGAAGCCACGACGGAATTCGATCTCGCAGAGATCCGGGAGCCCGAAGAAGGCCAAAAGCAAGAGGGCCCCGCTTCCTCCGGCCTCCTGCGGGGTCTCGCTGAGCGCGTGGAGAGCGCTGCACAGCGGACAAACGAACACCTCGTTAGACTGCTTATGGAAAAGTATGCCTTGGGCGAGCATGCTCTTGCCTTGAGACGCTTCCTCCTCCTGGGGCAGGGCGATTTCGTTGAGAGCCTCATGGATGCCCTGCAGGAGGAGCTGAATGCGGAAGCCGACACCATCCACCGCCACCACTTGATGGGCGTCCTGGACATGGCCTTGCGACAGTCCAATGCGCAGTTCTGCCCAGCAGATGTGCTGGCACGCCTGGGTGTGAAGTTGCTGAGCCCCTCGGCCGGCGAACGGGGTTGGGACATCTTCTTGCTGGACTACAGCATCGATGCACCTCTACATGTGGTCTTTACGCCTGTTGCGATGCAGAAGTACGAGCGCACCTTCGCTTTCCTCTGGAAGCTCAGGCGAGTGTCACATGCCTTGGCAGCCAGTTGGAGCCAGCACATGACACTGCAACGACACTTGTCCTTTCTAGGGAAGGCTGCAGCTGCCCCGGCGACAGCCTTCTCGGTGCTGCATAGGTTTTCATGTCTCCGCCACCAGCTGCAGCACTTCGTGCAGAACATTCAGTCCTATGTGATGTTCGAAGTCCTGGACACATCCTGGGCTAAGCTGCAAGCTGGATGGCGCAGCTGCACAGATTTAGACGAAGTGATATCGCAGCACGATCGCTACCTCGTCAATATTGAGGAAGGTGCTTTCTTGGCACAAGGTTGCGAATCTGTCCTGTCCGGAATCACGGCCTTGCTTGCCTTGGCACTGGATTTCTGTCACTTGCACGACCAAGCCTGTGCTGCGTCCTTCGAAGCAGCAGAAGCCATGGAGGAGGCGGAGGAGGAGGATGTGGGCAGCGTGTTCCAGGTCCTTCGCAGCCAGCCCTTTGCGCGGTCCCTGGCCGAGTCTCGAGCCCAGCTGGATGGCGTGGCTTCTTCCTTTAGCATGAAGCTTCAGCAGCTGTTGCAGTCGCTAGAGGAGCAACCCGAGCTGCGTGTGATGGACTTCAGTTTCCTGTGTTGCCGATTGGACTTCAATGGCTACTACGAGAGGCAGGCCGACTCACCCGCAGGTCCGTGAGTCAGTGTTCATCAGCACCTACAGCAACGCCATGCTGCTAGTTACTAGTTTTACGTGAAGACTCCGGGCGAATCCAAATAATTCGGAAACGCTTCCTACGTGCCGCTGGGACAGCTGAGACTGGCTGAACCCTTCCAAAGGAGCGCTTGCGAGCAGGTCTTGGGAGGGTCATATACATTTGAGCCTGAGCTTCTTGTTTTTGTGCTTGCAGTGTCACTCGTCGAGATTTCAGCTCTCTACCTGTTCCGCCCACTGCCATCGGATAGATAAACAGACCTAGCCTGGATTCCGAGTTGTGCAGGGCCGCATCCCCGGAAGCTCCGCCCAAGTTCGTGGCCTCGGAACTCCGAGGCTTCAAATGATCTCCGCGGCAACAACAAGTGCGCCGAGCCACGGATTCCGATTTTGCTCCCTGTGCCTACGCACACACACACACACACACTCAGTCACTCACTGTCTCTATGCCGATCCTTCCTCCCTCTCCCCTTTCTTCCCTCCCCTGACTCCCTCCCCTGACTCCGCTCTCTCTGCCGCTCTCTCTGCCTCTCTCTCTCTCTCTCTCTCTCTCTCTCTCTCTCTCTCTCTCGCTCTCTCTCTCTCTCTCTCTCTCTCTCTCGCTCTCTCGCTCTCTCGCTCTCTCGCTCTCTCGCTCTCTCGCTCTCTCTCTCGCTCTCTCTCTCTCTCTCTCTCTCTCTCTCTCTCTCTATCTCTCTCTCCGTTTCTTCTCTGTTCTCTCTTGACTCTCTCTCTCTCTCTCTCTCTCTCTCTCTCTCTCTCTATATATATATATATATGCGTGTGTGTACACTATGTAGATGCCGCAGATGCCCGTGAGTACAGTATGTGATAGATACACACATATGCGGGGTGCGGTGCTCGGTGCTGCTAGATCGTGCATATGGTCCAGTGCCAGCGATGATGAGGCGGAGGAGGAGAAGGAGGAGGAGTACTTCGCCGATGCTGATGGAAGTGAATCATTTTACTGTGACGATTGTGATGAAGATTAACGATGCTGCTAGTGCAGGTCACAACTTGATGGTTCGGCAGAGGAAGAGGATAAGTAGCAGTAGTATGTCGACGATGACGAAGATGATGACATGACGGTCATCATCATGACGATGTCGATCTAGTCGGCAGTGGTTGGTCATATGGCAGTATTGATTTTCGTTGGTGCGAATAGCTTGGTTTCCCGGTGGCCTAAGAGCGTGTGTTGTTGTTATCGTTATTGCCGTGGTCGTGGTTGTCATCGCTTCTGTGAAGCGACACCTTGCCGCGGCCGCAGCCAGTTCATCCATTTCCAAATCAGCTACTCAAGACAGGGCTGTTGTCAGCCGGAGAGTTTGTACATGGGCACTATGGGGCATCTTGTAATTTTTATCTTCTTAAACAAGACATACGCCCTAAACTCTAAACTGAACAATGCTGGGACTTTCGGCCTCGCTTCTCATGGCTGCGCCTAGGCATAAGAGCTGAGACATCTCGATGCGAAATGCGGCACAAATTCGGATTCGCACGACCTGAGTTGTTTAGCATGTGAACCCTACAGAGAAGCCCTAAACCCTGGAACCCTACAATTTCTGCCGCATGACCGCATGCAGCCTACTGGCATGACTTGTGGACTGCTTCGCGATGATCCGGCGGGCTTGCTTGCTCCTCGGTTCAACAGCTGCTCACTGACAGGTATTGTTTAGGTTTGAGTTGACAGGCATGTTTTTTTGTTTAGGCAGTCGTCCCATATTGCAGCACCTACCACATAAGACGTTTTTTTGGGCTCCTGTTGCATCAGTGCAGATGACAGACCAATCCGATTGGAAGCTCGACTGAGTCCACATTCTGCCAAGTTGACTGGCTGCAGTCATTAACTGTCCATTCAGCCGAGATCCTTCAGTATCGAAGCATCCTGAACTTACATAGAACTCGGACAAACAGATGCAGACCCTGGGCTGCAACTGAAACTTCTCTCCAGAACGCTGAACTTGAAGCTCGATATTGGGGTTAAAGGAAAGGGGGACCCAACATCGACCCTGGATTGTAGAATCCTCTCACAGGTACCTCTAGTTTCTGACCCCAGCGTAGACCCCGACCCCGAAGAGTCAGATCCTCAATAGAGATAATGGAGGTGCCTTGTGCGCTTTGATCCCAAACTCCAGCAAACCCCGACGCCTCCAACCAAGCGCCTCCCTTCACCTGCAGAAGAAGCCAGAACGGGGTTTCGGGTTTAGGGTTTTGGGGGAGTTGGAACACATATAGCATAATAGAAAGTATTGTTTAACATATATATATATATATATATATATATGGGGCCACACACATACACACACACATATATATATATATATACATATGTATATGCGCCATATGTATGTATGTATGTATGCATGTATGCATGTATGTATGTATGTATGTATGTTATATCCGACCAGTCAATCCCACACTCACGGAAACGAAAACAACCACATCGCAGACTGAACACCTCTACTCCCCAAACCAAAGCTAGTCATTAATTCAGGTCATAGAGCCTCAAGGAAGCTTCTTTTTGCAGGTCTTCCGGCTTCCTTTGGTGCCTCGGGCTTGCTGATGAACTTGCAGCTCAGAAGATTTACCAGGTTTTGGAGCTCCAGTTGAGCCGATTTAGGGTTTAGGGATAGGTTTGAAATTAGCCGCGAGTGCTAGGTTCGAGGTTTCGGGCTTGGGTTCAGGGCTTGCAGCTGAGGGTGTTCTTGTAGGTGTCGAAAAGTGGGCTTTTGTCGTTGCGATCGCGCGGGACCATGTCCTCCTGCATGTCCGTGAGAAGGCGAAAGCAACAGAGCGAGCGAGAGACACAGAGAGACTGACGGAGACATACAAACAGAGACAGAGAGAGCGAGTGGTCGCACCCACATACGCAAGTTTTGGTTTAAAGTGGCTTCCGAGGCTTCTAAATGTAGGGTTTACCGCATTTGTTTTCCGAGGTTTGTGCAAGTTCATGGAACGGGCTGAAAATGTTGGTAAAACCAACATGTTTCATGAATTGTCTGTGGGGGATCAATCGAAGTTCTTGGTTTTACCAACTTTTCCAATAATTTCCACGATTCCCGAAACTATGGCTCGGGGTTTCTCCAGATTCATGGGAATGGGTAAACATGTTGGCTTCGCCAACATTGTCCACAGGTGCATATTTCAAAACGGTTGTTACCGAAAATCTGCGACTGAGCAGATCTTACGTACTCGTGCGAGGTGTTTCGCAACCAAGGCCGGTAAGGTATTGGCATCCTTGATTCAGCTCACTAGTTTGTCCGACACGAAACTAGATAATAATCTCTGCTTGAAGGCGCTACTGTGGCAACTTCAGTTGATTGGATATTCTGTTTGTCATGTACAAGGCTATACTCCATGTCTACGATTCCAAATTTATACGACCTTCTGCTGCACGAACACGTTTAAGCTGGGTTATTCACACACACACACACTTTTCTGGAGATGAATGTATAGAGCATCTACTTATGTTGCGTGGTGTTGCATGGGGGGCTTTAGTCGTTGTGTTCATGTAGTCTTTGGTGTGGCTTTCTGGTGCTTACAGCAAAAAGCTTTTTAATAGTTTATGAACGAGTATCACTTGCACCAGAATTCTGACATACATCACCGTGAACTGGTCATCATTTGGTAGGTGCAGAATTTCGAAAACGATTTTGCGAAGACTACCAATCCTAGTCCGACCAATAAAGTCGGACTAAACATATTGAGAGCACCTGGCGTGAACAGACCCAGCGAATTCGACGAAACAAGCAACAACACACAACCTAGAGTGTAATTCGAAGCCACACAACAATCCGCTCTCACCAGGTTTAAAACAAGCACATGCGTCGCATGATTAACCATCATCTTACCAAGAGGTTTTGCGGCACAGGTCTACGTATTCACCTGGAGCGCACAGGTAGGTTTATACTTAACCAAATGTATAAACACAGGAATCAGCAGGTATTACATTTACTTTATAATGCTTGGTTATTGTTAAAGGAGGGTTCCTGTCCTGGACACTATACGAAGTACTCAGAATGAACATCTATGGCACAATATTTGACACAGTAACACTCGCATTCCAAAATTATGAGAAACCCGGGTGTACATGGTGTTAACTGGGCTTGTACTGACGGAATATAATCACCACAGTAACAGGAAGAATGGTAATGGTAAAAAGATGTGATGACACCCTTGCGAGACGTAATACTGACCTCACGCTTGATGTTTTGGATGCGACATAGAAGAACAGACTTTGTAGGAATTTCATGACGGAGAAAGAAACGGAGATCGGATTCCTAAGGCAGTGAAGACGAAACCTACACGTACCATAGTGGGGCACGAATTGCTCCTGTTGTTTCTACTGACGGCTAATTTTGGCAGATACGCGTGAATCATTGTGCAGTGGTTCGAAGATACAAGGTTTTGACAGGTATGACGACACGATATGACACTAATTCCGGCTTATTCCGTCTGTGGCTGTATGAAGCAATGAACACAGCAAATCACATAAGAGACTGCAAAACCCACCACAGCAATGACATTGTTGTGTATAAACAAATGGATGTTCAATGAACGTGTGTGTGCAGCAAAAACGATAGCGAACAGCCAGCTAAACATAGAAACTGTCCACTTTGATAGGACGTCTATGTGCGTGACCATGGGGATGCTACACATGCCGTGCAAAGCTCTTTGTCTTAGTGTGCTTCAGTAGGCTAGCTTCGCCATACCTCAGCTGCCATACCCCGTAATCCCTGCTGGGGCTCCCACAGCCGAGGAAGCTTTGCAAGCGACTTTTGGCTGGAAGGGCGGCGGCATCGACAGACTCCGTTTCTTCAAAGACCCCTTCAACGGCAAGAGAGGGTGTAGGATGTAGGGTTTCGGGGTATAAAGGCTTTAGGAAGTCAGGGTTGAGGGCTCCACCGAGTGGGGCCTACCGAGGCTTGGGTGAAGGGTTTAGGCGAATGGCTTGTGAAGAGATGGCAGGACAGGGGCAGACCGATGGGTGCAGTGTTCGGGAGCGACGTCGCTAAGTTTTGCTCTCCAGCTGGGCCCAATGGCACTGAAACCCTCTACCGGCAACTCACTTCTTTCCTGCTTCGACCCCGATCTTTCAAGCCCTTTTGTTCGCAGCACGCCACAATGCAGGTGCACTGTATGATTCCCTTACATGTTCCTGGCGGAACAAAAACATAGGAGTAGAGTAACAGGCCAGATCCAAAACAACCTCTCAGGAAAGACTCGGTTTCGAGCCACGGCACGTGGTGGACGTGGGTGCCCATGTGGGCAACTGGACGCGTGACGCGCGGGAGGCACACAGGGCCTCAGAGTCCTCGGGCTCCTTACCCAGAGGCCCCAAAGTAGTTCCTTTTTGGGTTTCATATATAGAATCCTATAAGGTAATCCCAAAAAGGAACTACTATGGGGCTTCTGGGTATTTTGGTGATGCTACTTCTTCTAGATCTCATATACTAGCAGTTTCCCCTTTGACGGCTGAGTGTAGACAGGGGAATCTCTAGGAGCAGTTAATTACTTTTGGATTGTGTTGTTCCAGTTGTGGGGTCTGTAGGTTTCGGCTGATCAGATTGGAGCTTGATGAGGATTTGCTGAAGAGGCTCAGTTGTGAGATACGTAAGAGGGGAGGATGGCGGTGATGACGATGGTCATAACGTAGAGCGCCATGACTGATGGCGGTTGCCCTTCCAGTAGCAGCACCTGCTGAAGTCGTAGGTTGTGGGATCAGTATTGAGGTCTACCCTTCGGCAGACTTTTTGCTCATTGAAGCCAATCCGGAGCATGCGGACAAGCTGAGGGCTACAGGCGGGAACATGGAGTTCTTTCAGTTTTAGGATTCATGAGCTCATGGGCAGTCCGGCGCTTTTCCCAGAACTCATGGGCTTTAAGTCAGCGCTCCTCCGAGACCTGTTCACTCGCCAGGATTTGAGGGTTCGTTGGTGCAGAGAGTGCATGAGATTCCAGTGTAGTCAAGCGCTGGAGCTGTTGGACAGGGGATTCGGCAGTGCCCCTCACACTTCGGATTTGGATCCTCCTTCTTGTCCCTGTGGTTCAATCCCTACATATGATAATATTCTGCGGTGGCCCACCTTTGCAGCCCACTCACGCCAGCAGCCCTGCATGAGTTTATCTGCCTTGTGTCGTAAAGAGTTCCAGGAGAGCGCTTTGAGATTGCGCTCCTCACCTCGCAGCCGCGCCCGAAGGTGGTTTTTCACAGCACCCGCTGCAATGTCAAGACTGGTGCCACCGCGGTTCACGGAAGCTTCTACGATATGATTTTTGAGTCATTTTGGCTGCTTCTGGGTTGGGTGCACTTTGGGCTCCCGCAGGGTTCCAGCAGTGCACGGGCTCGGAGAATCTAGAGAGCGGCTACTTGTTTGCAGCGGGAGCTCTAGATTTTGCATCTTCCCTGGCTCAAAGGGTTGAAGCTGCTAGGACAGAAAAGCTTGCAGGTACCGGTAGCATAACCTCCGATCGTCTTTCTTGCTCTTTCTAAGTGGCTGTTTTGGGAATTCGATCTCGGACGCAGGTTCAACCATGCTCTTCCCTGAGAGGTGCCTCGATCTTCCGCGAGCAGACTCCCTGGCATCTGGGCCCTTTTAGGGCTTATATGATAACTTATATATATACACACCATAATTGTCAAATTTATAAAACTTAATACTTATATATACCTTGTCAAATGAACGCAACGAGCGTTTTTCCTCTTGAGGAATATTATGTGAAATCAGTGCATACTGGAGCCCTGTAAACATGGCGCTCTTAGGGTCCAGGCAGGGTTTAGGAGGTTGCTTCCTGCGAGAGATGCTTGTATGCTTGGATGCAATGAAGGCGAAGATACTCCAAGAGGTCAGACATAAGATTCAACACCTATCCCAAGCCGTGAATCCTGCTGAACCGCGAGCCTCATATCTGCGAGCTTGACGGCTCGAACTCGAGATTTGAATCTCTGAAACTCCAAGCCTTACGCCGAGATACAGTATACTAGGTAGGCCTTTGGGATATTCTATATTTTCCCTTATTGGGCTAAATAGGACCCTATTTACGAATAGTTTTCAGAGGCTTTAAAGGGCCAACCTAGTATAGTATAGTAGGGTAAAGTGGAGTTTAATCTCGCGCGAGGTATGAGCATGAGATCTGCCATCAGCCCCTTGTGCTCCAGAGCTGGACCCTGGACCAAGTCGTGCAGAACTCCAGCAGCTCGGCTGGACGGGCCTTCTTGTTCTGAGCTTCAGGGTTGTAAGGCTTACTGAGCGAGTGTATGCCTCAAGATGTAAAGGTTCCCATCGAAACCTCGTCTGACTTGTTCGAGCACGAGTGACAAAAAAAGCGTACTGAGCGAGTGTATATGTGTATATAAGATGCCTGCACGGATGGATGGATGGATGGATGGATGGATGGATGGATCTGTATATATCTATTTACATATATTAGTACGTGGGTTTGTACGTATGCATGCATGTCTCTCTATCTGTATGTATGTATGTATGTATGCATGCATGAATGAAGTATGTATGTGTATGAGTATATACTGTCACCACAAAAGCAGATCAGCAGGTTCTTCGTGACTTATTCGTGCGCGGTCTTTACCGCGTGGGCAGCAATGATGGCCTATAGCTACAAACTTTACACTGCATGCACATGAAAATTTGGACATGGGCCGTTCTTAAGTTGCTCTGAAATATCGTAAATTCCAGGCTCGGCTGGGGTGGCCTGCTGCGATCTCGTGAAGGCAGCGCTGGATTCGAGAGATTTCAGAGGTTTTCGGACTTTACTCCTGGATTTCCGAGGCCAGAACACCGAAACGCGCCTATGGGGCTTGTAGGGCTTTGGGCTCGTGCGGTAGAGCTTGCATGGTCTATATGTGTATATATATATGTATAGATATAAGCCGCCTCTTGCGGGAGTGAAGGACGGCTTGCGCAAGCCGCAGGAGCAGGTATTCGCATGGAGTGAGCCGGGCGTCTCTTTTTTCGTATACATGCCTTCATGCCGTGGATCTCGTTAAAGCCGTGAACCCAAAATGCCTTATATCATATACTTTCGTCTCCTCAGGAATGAGTTTCATTTTTGTTCATATATAAAGCCCAAGAAAATATTAAGCTTAATACTTTGTTATGGTTCTAAGCGGGGGGCATAGCCTGCTATGGCAGGATCCTAATGCTCCTTTTTGACATGAAGACCCCTTATCCGCTCTACAGGCCGATGTTCAGGGCGCTGAGATCGAGGTTCTTCGAGGAGGCCAACGCACTCTGCGAAACGCGCAGCTGGTGCTCTTAGAGGCAGCTTGGACGAGGGACGGCGCAGAGGGTAAGGCCGAGAATGTAAAGCTACTCCGACAAATAGGTCGATCTAGGATAATTATAGAGTAATTATAGAGAGGCAAAAAAAAAGGATAATTATAGAGTTGAGAGTTTGGAATCCTGTTGTTGCTCTGCCCTGAAACTATCAGGGGGAGTGAGTGGGTCCTTTGTACAGTAGGTAGGCCCTGGTGTGAAGGTCTAAACGCCATCGGAAGCAATCTGTGCACTTGAAGCTGCAGATGAACACCAAACGATCTTTTGAGGGGTTTAGAGAAGGACAAGCACCCCTGTCTCATCTAAACCTAGCCCTAAGCAGCAAGCCTACAAAAGCACCCTGGTAACCCCAAAGCTGCGAGTTGAGGGTTCTTGGCCGAAACCCTAAGCCCTACTTAGACATTGCATCCCAGCCATGCGAGAGGGAAAAAACTTAGAGGATCATGGGACTTGGTAAGTAGGCTATAATCTAATAATCGGGGTTATAAGTCCCCTAAGTGGGGTTATCCTAATTATAACCTACTTATAACCTTACTTACTAAGTCCCATGAGCCTTTAAGTACCTTGAAAAGGGTAACCAAGGACGAGACTCTGGAGTTCTAGATCGAAAGAGTAAAACCTACCATTACTTTGTCATATTTGGGTATCATTTTTCCATTTTTTACGGGTACTTAACCCCAATCAGGAATAGAAATGTAGATGTTTAGTCTTATTCCAACTATGAACTAGATTACTACTGAAGCCCTGAGCATGAGCAGTTGGGTCGCTCAGGAAATTCTGGCCCTGTGCCCTAAACTCCCTAAACCAAAAGCCCCAAACCCTTCACCCTAAGCCCCAGTAGGAGAGAGAAAAAAAAAGCACTGAACCCTCAACCCCCTGAGCCTGAAACCCTTGGGGCCTTTGGGGTCAGGAATGAAAATGTGCATTTTTAATCCTATCCCAACCATAAGCTAGTGATGAGGTTCACAAACTAGCTAACTGAAAAAACCTTTAGAGGAACCCTTAAAGCAACCCTTTAAAAGAAACCTACAATCCCCCCTTTGGGCCTTTGGGGATGTCCTAGTTGCAGGCCTCCGTGCTCCCTTACAACGAAGGAGCGCCGCGGTTTTCCGAGCCTCGTCGGTTGTCCTTAGCTGGGGTGTGTTGGGGTGTAGGGCATCAGAAATAAGGTTCAGGTCTTAGGGTTTGGGGGTATAGGGTTTAGGGTGTACTTTAGGAGTAAGGTTCAGGGGATACGGTTTAGCTCAGGGTATAAGTTCTCGCAGAAAGGGTTTGGGGGTATAGGGTTTAGGGAATGGGGTATGGGGTTCAGATGCAAGGATCTGGCTAGCCCCAAGACAAGTGGCAAAAAGGCCAGAATCGTGGCTGCATCATGTGCAGCAGTAAGCAGCGTCAGAAGCACATTGCTTGACTCCTCAGCAGCTTTGGTTTTGTCGCCTGCATGTGCATGTCGGTCTGAGTCAAGGGTTCATTAAGCGCAGTAGTAAAAAAGTATATATCGAGTTTAGAGTATAAGGGTGTAGAAGGTACTAGGGTTTAAGTATTAGGCCTAGGGCTTAGCGTATATACAGGGTCTTTGATGCAACCCTGTCTTAGTCTTGATGTTGCTCGGCCTGCTGGTCTTGAGCTTAGTGGATTCTGATCGGTACCGGAATCTGGCGGTAGGAAAACCCTATACCAGACTCTGAAACCTGAAACCCCAGAGTCAACACGCATCTAAGCACTAGGTCATACGTGAAGCAAGCCTCCAAGAAGCCTTGTAGTCAAACGGCCTTCATAGTTAGACTAGGGTTTCGGGGCCCATTATACGATATTTATCATAAGGAACACCCACAATAGTGTTGATCATGAAGGCCCCTATGTTAGATCCTTGGAGACCTCAGAGGTTGCGGGTTCCGGGTTTCAGTGGCGAAGGCCCGGGTGTTAGGGTTCTAAAAAGGATCCTAAAAGGGATCTGCCTCCTAACAGGGATCTATAAGGGACCTTGTATAAGTCTTTCGAGTTTGAGGCTTTAGGGGGTGAGCGGCGTAGAATTTTTGGAGATATATAGGGAATCGGAGAGAGGCAGGTCAGAGAGGGTGGGACTTCTGGGTTGCAAGGAACTCATCCGCTTCATGGCCGAGCACGGTTTTGAAGTCGTGGATGTCGCCGATGCCTCCTTCTCCGAGGATCTCACGTAGTTAGGCGAATTTCTGCCTGTGTGCGCTCATGGTTGAGAGTCTTGAGTAAGTTCATTGTTGCAGTTGCTACGCTCTTGTTTGCAGAAGTCCTTCGTCATTGCTTGACCCCATTCGAAGTTGCACGAGCTGTCATGGTTCTCACATTTCCAGGGTCGCAGAACCCAAACACAACCCAGAGGATGTGGCGCGCATACTGCAACTGGACCTGCTGTTTGCTCCCACGTCGTCGCCACTGCTGCAGAGGCTTCTAGGGTCCAAACTGAAACTTTTTTGATGTATATAGGTTTTTTTGGGCCGGCTGATGCCGGCTGCAAAGCTTTGTTCACCCTTCTGTGCCAACTTGCAGCTGGCAAATCCTTCCATGGTGCAGGCTCTTTCCGACTGCAGTGCTCTTCTCATTCTCTAGGGCGGAGACCGTTAAGTCCATTGCCGGATCACAGAGTCCTATTTGAGAGTTTCCGAAAATTGGGGGTACCTTTATTTTGGGGGTCCTCAGAATAAGGATCCTACTATTTAGGGTACTATATTAGGGTCCCCTATTTTCGGAAACTCCCATTTTTGTCTGATCGTTTGCAGCCATTGGCTCCAACCATGCTATGGCGATTTACTTGAAGGAAGCATGCTGCCCAAGTAGCTCAACCCTTAGAGTCTGTAGATCCCATCCACTTACGTGGTCGCCTGAACATGAATTTCCAGCCCACAAAAGTGCCCAAACTATAAGAGTCACGGGCCCTTGCGGACTCGGCCACATGTGTCCGATGGCAAAACGACATAGGATCTGTCGACAGGGGCTCTTGTTCTGCCTTTGCCTCGCTCTCGGCGTTGTCGGGCGGCTTGGGAGGTCAGCTCCTGCCTTTAGCGGACTTCCTCGTGCAGCCCCTCGCGCAGTGTCGAAGAGATGCCATAGCCGCCTGCAGGCAGGCGTCCAACAGTTCGAAGATCTGGCAGCATGGGCGGAGCCCGCTTCCACACCGGAGCGACGTTCGGAATGGCAACAACAAACACTTCTCATTTGGGTCTCCGTGGTGGCCCTCTGGACATTTCTGGACTGCGTGGTGGATCCCGGTGTGAAGCCATTTGAAGATCCCGGTAGCTTGCTCAACATAGCCCTGCCCACCTCGCTGCTTGTGGCCCCCGGCGCAGCGGTTGCTGCCTCTGCACAGCTTGCACCGCGCCCGACCGGCATTGCCGAAGCGACGAAGACTAAGACCTGCGCCGTCTTCGTCGGTGATAGCTTGACACAAGGCCCTATAACGGTTGGGTGGGAGCATCAGTATAGTTTGGGCCCAATAGCATAGACTACACTACACTACTGGTAGACTCCTACACTATACCCTAGTAGTAGAGTAGGTAACCTTTAACGTTTATCGGGTAGTATAGTCCTTATATAATCCCTATAAAACCAAAAAGGTTAACCTTTAGTACCCCATGATACCCGACACGTAGGATACTGTTAATTACATACTTGGACCCCTTGGCAGGCACCCTCTCGGCCAACGTCCTTCAGGTTCTCGAGGGTCGCTGTGCCAGGGATCTTGGTGCCTTTGTAAATGCCGGGCGAAATTTCCGGGCTTTGAGCGACACTTGGCCATTCTTAGGGATACATAAGGTTTATGGCTGAACGTTTGGGAATCTGGTTGCTGGTTGCTTGGCGGGGTCTTAATTTGGGTTTCCATACATCGTGAAAAGGAGCACATAAAACAGATTCCCTTTTGTTGGTTCTTTCCTTCCCAAGATCAAGAGGGACCAAGGACACCTTGGAGTCCGATCTTTTGGAGGACCGTCTGGCTCTTAGTAGGGCATGGGGGAATGGATCCCCAAAGTAGCTCCTATATAATCGCCAATAATAGCCTTCAGAATCCATTCCCAGACAGTTATATCATAGTACCCGATTATAAATCCCTTATAGTAACCCTTGTAGACCCCTTTAAAGTATTAAGACTCCCCAGTCCCCATTAAGAACCAGACAGAGGAGGCCTCTGCCCTGCAGCCAAGCCATGGCTTGGTTCTTCTGCTTCTTAGTAGCTGAGTGGATACACTTTAAGCTTCTTCTGATAATATTATATACCTTTTATGAAACTATAAGTTTACCCACTATAAAACTATACGTGTACACGTTGGGGGGGCTTATGAACTCAGCAACTAAGGCTTGGAACCAATGACCTCATCCGCTATACCGCCGTGGCCGAAGCCCTCCGAGGTCCCAAGGACCGGGGCAAGTCTCAAGGGAGTTATAATGAGTTTAAATATGGTTTAAGGTACCATCATGCGGATTTATCATGAATAATATGGTTTCTTTATTTGCAAGGAGGACTGGTTGGGAAGCTACGAAGCGCAGCTGGAGCAGGCAGTCAGCCGCATTTCCAGAGATTTCCCGGTGCTGCTCACGTCGCCTCCACCGCTGGGAGAAGATCTGAACTCAGAGGAGGGCCTCCTTGGTGCGTCCATGGCAAAATCTGTCCGACGGGTCGCAGAGATGAGCCAGTGCGTCTATGTGCCCCTCTTCGAGGCCTGTGCTGACCACTTGAACCAGAAAGCCGCAAGTGGGAATTTGGCTGCCAAGTCCCGAGCATATTCCTTGGGTGAGTCTTTGCTGCTCCTTTGTGCGCTCCCTTGGCGGCTCTATGCCGGAAGTGGCGAAAGTTTGCAGAAAATCCAGGAGGATTCCGGGTTGGAACTGACTGTTGACTTGGTGCACTATGGCCCAGTCTATGCTGATATAGCTTCAAGGCTCTTCATCCAGAAGTTGGGGATCTCAGCGTCAAAATGACACGATTTTCCTTCAGTCCATAGAACATGTTTTCCTCTCACGGTTTCGGCTGCATATTGTATTTATATGTATATCGATATATACATAAGTAATGTTGATGCTATTATTATTATTATTATTATTATTATTATTTTTTATTATTATTATTGTTATTCTTATTATTATTATTTCTATTATTATTATTATTATTATTAGTAGTAGTAGTATTTTAATTTTTCTTAAATATTATGATTACTATTTTTATTACGTATTATTATTGTTATTATTATTAGTATTATTAATATATTCTTATATATATATATATATATATATATATATATTGCGACTGAATATGTAATATGCGCATGCTTGCTGTGCCGCTCCTCCTGGTCGCCGCCGGTCTCCGAAAAAGGTGATCTCCTCATTTCGTTTTGCAACCCTACAGGGCCCATTCCCTAAACGGTTTAGGAATTAGGAGATTGAATTCATAGGAGGCCAAAAGGGGTTTTAGCCTATGGGGGTTTAGTAGGGATTAGCGTTCCCATAATCGGGTTCATATTAAGGAATCCCTACCCCAAGAGTCTTAAACCCCCCTTTTGGCCTCCCATCACCCATTCCCTAAACGGAGAGGCCTGATTGGAGATTGATTGTTGTGATGGCCCAAGTGGAAAGGCCCGGCAGAGTTTTGTAGCACAGCTGCAGTCGCACTACGCAGTCTTTTCTTTTGCAATTGTGTTTTGACGATTGATCAGATTAGTTCCTGAGTGTTCCCGGCGAAATGCCTGCATGCCTGTTAGAGTGCTTGTAAAACTGTCTTTGGGTTTGTTTTACAGGGATCTGCGAAAACATGTTACTACAGTTTGCCTATACCTACGGGGGGGTGGTAAAAAAAAACAGTTCAGCACGTATCCCCATTGTTATTCTCCCAGCTCCCGTGTGAGAACATCAACAGGTCAGGCCGTGATCGGAGCTTTTCAGAGAAGGCCCACACAGGATGCAAGGTCATATCTAAACCCTCATAACTCCATAAGATAAGTCATTCCGGAACAACCCCTCCGCACCCTGAAAGGGCTCTCACGTTTCCGTGAGCCTGATCTCCTTCAGATCGAACCTGGACTAGAAACAGAAGACCAACAACCATGTAGCGCAGGCTGTCGGACTTCAGGGATCATGCCACAAACCCGAAAGCCATAAGACTCTAAGCCCTGGTGTGTACTGGTTTAGGTCTTACACTCTGTACTCTTGGCTCTGTTCCAACACTCGCACATCACTCTCATGTCCAAGTAGCAAGCCTGACATGAATCCGTGCCTGCCCTGTGCGAGTGTGCGAGTCGAAACCCTGGTTTATAGGGCTTACCGCGATGTAGTTTTTGGACCGCGTTCATGTAGAATCACAACCTGTTCAAGGGCTGTTGAGCCATTACTTACCTACATTAAATGGGTGGTTGTCAAAATCAGGGTCCCTTTTTGGGTCCCTAAGATAATACGGCACCTAACATGTAGGGTGCCCAAAAAGAGACCTCTACTTTGACAACTACCCGAATGGGCCTGCAGGTTTTAGCTTAGGGTCTTCCGGAGTGTAGGAGCTCAGCCCGATCTCCGCTGCAAATCCGGTGAGCCGGAGCCCTACACTTCAAAATACAACACATAGTAGTTGATTACATAAACGCCTACCTACCTACCTATACCTATATACATACATATGAATATACTACCAACAATCACATATTGTGCGATTGAGAATCTAGGCCTAAAGATCCTACAAGCCCAGAAGCACTTTGCTGTGGCTGTAGGCCTTTTCCGGGGGGCATCCGCCCTGCGCCGCATCGCCCCGACATGGCGACGGAGCAAGCGGGCGAAATGAGCTTGTGGGATTGTTGAGCCTTCTGTATATATATATATATATATATATGTCACATATATACGTATATGTATGTATGTATGCATTCATGTGTGTGTGGTGTGTATATATATATATATATATATATATATACGTACGTACACACGTGAACATATGTATGTACAATTACTATTCCATGAATTGCATCTCGCATGTATATGTGCAGCTCACCTGGCTTGGGGCGGACTTTCGAAGTTCGAAGGTTTTGGGATGCGTCTCGGCCACACAGGCAAGGCCCTACACCCTACACCCTAAATTGCTTCGGAGTTACCCTGCAATGCGGGCTTCGTCCTTGCTAGGTAGGAGGGGAAAAACCCTAAACCCTAAACCCAACAGCCAGTTTGATTTAAACGAAACCTAGACTGCTTCCACCCAAAACCCTGAACGCAGCTAAGCGGATGGGAAAAGGCAGATTGTTGATCTTCCCCCTGCTCGTGGGTGTTCCTTTACATAATACAGGGGCGTTATTGAAAATTACCTTTACTGTTTTGGGGGTTCGTTCTTCTACTTGTATTATAAGAGGACCCAAAACCCTGTTAGAATTATTAAGGCCCCTATATTACCTCGGATATTAGAAGTCCGTCACGTTCTTGCTTACTTATCCTATGGAAGGGTACTCGGCGCAGGCTGCCGAGCATGTGCTCGTCGTGCAGCGAGAAGATGTTCAGAAGAGGGTTTAGCAATGGATGTTCGACATGAATGCAAAAATCAGGCGAACATACCGAAAATAAAGTCTGGAAGCAGGGAGTGGGACCGGTCAAGCAAAAGATTTGTCAGAAGGTCTTCAACCAGGCGGTTCATACAGCAGTAGGCGCATGAAAGACGAACGTCGGAGCGGCAGGTCAGATCGCTGGACAATAATCAGCACCGCCAAAGAGCATGAGAAGTACTAAGGGGGGTACTAAACGGTGCACTACAAAGCTGGGTCTAAGGAGACTATAGGTTCTTTCCCAAAGGGTCCGATTATTATCATTTTGGTATATACTTATAGGGTATTTCGAATATACTTATAGTGTATTTCGAGGGCCTGAGTATATACCATAATGATACTTGGACTCTTCGGGTTTCACTTCCCAAACCCAATCTGCACATTTCCTCCAGCACGTGGCCATGGTGCGCACAAGCTGCCTGTGGTCTGCGCTCCTGCTTGGAGCAGCCTGTCTGAAGCTTCGGGTGCAGGGTCTGCAGGGTGCAGGGTTACAGCAATATTGAAAGCTTAGGGTTTCGGGTCAGTGAAGGTTGAAGGGCTTCGTGCTTACGTTTGGTGGAGAAGATAATGTCTGGTTCTCATGACACCAGATAGTATCTGCAAAGGCGAACACTGTCAGGGCTTCGTGTTGTGTTCTATTCGTTCTCATCATATCTCTCATCTCTCCTTCATCCGTCCTTCATCCCAGAAATGCCCGTGCACAACAGGCAGAGACCTGCCATGTTGGTTGGGCACTTGTAGGTGCCGAATATGCCGAGGAGACGACCTGGGGGAAGGTCTACTTCTCCGAAACCTTCGATGACTCTTGGGCCAACCGATGGACTTTGAGCACATGGAAGGACAGCGAGAAGGCCAGCAGTGACGAACAACGGTGATTGCTCCTCGTTCTGTGGGACGGCAGGTAACGCTCAAACTCATGTTCTCAGAGTACAGGGCTGACAGTACTTAATTTGGATGGTCATGCGCTGCTTCGAATAGCTGTGTTGACAGAGAGTTGACACTTGCCCCATTCCGAAGAAGGAGCTTCAATTTCATGCCGTGCTACCAGTTTTAGGCTCCATGGTCATGGGCAGACAACAGCCGATTCGCTTGGTGCACCCCGTTTCTGTGCGTTTGGGTTGCCAGGTTTAAGATTTTTGGTACATTCAAGCGTAGTGACCCTGGCCGGTTTGGGGTTTGGGTTTGGGGATTCCGCATCCCCGAGTAGAGCCCTAAACTCCTAAACCTGATTCCAATCCCATTCCATAAGCCCTAAAAAGGAGCCCTTTACAGTAAGGAACTCTTAAGGAAACCCTTTAAAGGATCCCCTTAAAGGCTTATTGGGGGAATCGCGAGGAGAAGATGGGGAAGTGGGTGCTGTCCTCCGGACGATTCTTCGCAGACTCACTGGAGGATCGAGGCCGCTTAGCGAAACCAGAACGAAGCCCGAGAGTTTCGCGATTGGACTTCGCATTTTTGGGTTCTGGGCTCAAGCGCCAAAGCTGGTTCGGAATTGAGGGGATGCGGGTTGAACCATATGGGTGGTTGTCAAACTTATGGCCCCTTTTGGGGTACCTTAATTTTGACAACTACCCGTATGGGCAAAAGGTCGCGAGACTTCCCGAAAGAATGGCGGGAGAATGTTTGGGTAAACTTAACTGCCCGGTTGCACCGCCCAGCCCGTTTAAGGTCTCCGAGAGACGGATCCCCTTAAACAGACCCTGTCTAAATCCGTAGATTGTATATACAATAATACCAGTAGGATACCTGTATTCGGGGGACCTTCTTTCTTGAGGATCTTTGAGAGGATCGTGGGGAGCACCATCGCTTGCAGTGGATTCCCCTGAAGAGTCTTACTCTTTGTTCTATAAAGCATATTTTGTGACATCTTATTCTAGGACTATCAGGTTGATACTATGCCAGGAAAGAAGACCTTTACTTCAGAGCTGAATCCTTTTGGGGCTCTGGGCGGCACTATGTGTATTACTATAGGCTACAACGATATTAGGACGAAAACAGGGCGATTCGTATCCAACCATGGAGACCTGTGTTTGAGAGCTTTAGTGGATGCTTCGGCCCATGCACGGAATGGCTTTATTAAAGCCCCTACCTTATAACCCTAAACCCTAAATCTTTAGACCCGGTCTTTTGTCAAAGTCGGCCTGGTCCGTTTCATGCACTCACAAATGCCCCTTAGTGTAGCTGCATATATGGATGGAGGTGCATACACAGAGATACGTGCATCCATGCGTGCATGCATACAAAAGACATGGGCCTAGACATTCATGAGAGGCAGATGCAGGCCACCCTGCTACAAAGTTATGCATGCAGCATTCATGTCTTGCTCGGTCTCTCTGTCTCTCTCTCCCTCTCTTCCACACCCTCTATCTAGCTAGTCGTTTGACTCTCTCCCAGTGTTGGCTCTTGAACCTC